GTAGGCCATGGAGCAATGATCCAGTGAGGGGCAGAGAAAAGCTACATGTGCAGATATTTTGGTGACAGAGAATAGGGCATGAATCTGGGCTCTACCAGCTAAATGCCAGGTACCTCGGGGCTAATTCATTGCTATTTCTGTGCCTCATTCCTCACCTACACCGGGATCTAATCATCCATCTTCCATGGGGAGTTACAAGGATTACATGTGCGTGCTTAGCTCCATGCCCAGTCCAGGGGACTCTCACCAGCCTTCTCATTCATCATCATGGTTACGGTCTTTGCCAGAGTCACCAGAGTCAAGGAATCACAGTCTCTGTGGACAGTTCCTTCACTGTCTCTCCACACTCCTGGCAGTTCCTTCACTGTCTCTCCACACTCCTGGCAGAAAGATGGCCTAAGGTGTCCTTACTCCCCTTTTAAAATAAGAAGGATGGATACATGCCTCTTTCGACATATTTCTTACCAATGAGGCCATGTCTCATTTCTGTGCTTCTAGCATAGGGCTTAGCACATAGTAGGAGACTGATTCTTCTTTGCTGTGGTGGGTCTGACCACAGTAATGGAGCAGCCGGAGAAGAGGGAAAGAAGAGGAAGAACACAGCTCAGTCTCTGCCTCAGCAAATAACTCTTCCCTGCCCCTTCTCTATAGACCTGGGCTCTTGGGGTGCTCTGAGGGGCCCTAACAAGAAACCACCCTCTAGATGGACCAGCAGATGGCATAGTGTTTGCATCATTGCTGAACTCCCAAGTAGTCCATGGTTTGAGTCCCAGACCCAGTGGCTCAAAATTTATGCCAGGTATGTGTGCAGGCATGCCCAAAATCCCAAGAGAAGAATGGAGGAGAAGGGTCATAAAGGCATGACCATGCCCCATGGAGGGTGATTTCTAGCTTTCTGTCTCTCTATTGCTATCTCCCCAGTGAGCACACATGCCCTATAGCAAAAAAACTCTCAAAAAATAAAAAAGAAAGAAAGAAAGAAAAAGAAAAACCACCCTCTAGAAACCACCCTCTGGAAATACATGTGTCAAAGTCAATAGTGTGTTTGATGCAATCAATGAGGGTTCTTTTCTTCTTGGCCTAGGACCAAGAAAATTGTGCGGAGAGGAAGTCAACAAATTAAACAAATTTTCCTGTGACAGAAGCTATTTACTGACCCTGTGCTGTCCCCAGTCCTCCAGGGGACCTGAGGAGCCAAGGACTAGGCTAGAGATAGAAGTTTTTCAGAGTGGAAACCAGGGCTGGAATAGCATGCAGTAGCCAGTGGTGCTTTGGGGATCGTGGTGCAGACATTTGGGGAGAACATAGATTCGCCCTCCCTGCCTTCCTGACGTCTTTCAAACCCCCTCACACAGAAATGGGCTGTGTGCTTTTCCACAACAGGAACATGAGTGTGCATATCTTCACACTCACATGCATGCTTGCTCACAAACATACCCACCTACGCAGGGGTTATGTGAGAGGAAGGAGGATCTTGATCTTTGTAGGTAAACAGTCTCACCTGGCAAAACCACTCCACCACTTGGGGGCCAGTTCAGTTTCTTTAACTTCCCCATCTTTCACCCTCACCCCAGGATGAATCCCAGTTGTGACCCTCGCAGGATAGGGAGAGTGGGCCATGCTGGAAAGGACTAGAGGTGGGGTATCTGGTACCCTCCCATTCTGATGCTGCTGCCAGTGCAGTTGAGTCGGCTTAGGATGAAAAGTCAGCCATTTTGGCTAAGGTATGAGGGTAAAGTCTTAAGTCTAAATCCACAAGAAACCAAGCCAGACAACAAAGGCAAAGGGTGTGTGACAGATGATCTGATAACTCCAGGAAGATGCCTGTTGAGCTCTGGCTTTCCTTTTTTTAGGTGTTTGCCATAGGGCACATGCACTTGCGAGCGAGAGACAGAGAGAGGGAAAGTGAGAAATCACCCTCTGGAGGGATGGCCATACCACAATCCTTTGTCCTCCATTCTCCTCCTGGGATTTTGGCCATGCATGCACACACACCCAGTGTGATTTTCAAGCTGCCAGGTCTGGGACTCGAACCACAGTTGGCATGTGAGAATCCAGGGTCTTAACCACATGCCACCTGCTAGCCCATAGTTATGGTTTTCAATACACTCAGCAGCTCAAGATATAAATACGGTGCTGACACTGAGAAGGCCACAGAAGTGAGACAGACATGGTCTCCGCTCTCAGAGATCATAATATGCAGAGAAGGGGGTTGGGGTGGGAAGGACAAAGAACCAAACAGAAAAATTGGTAACCATGAAAGTAACAAAGGAAAGTGCCTTGGAATTTCAATAGAGAGAGAGAGAGAGTCTCGTTATAGGGAAGGGTCATTTGAGAAAGATCTCCCAAGATGGGTAGGATTCCCATGGGGTAGAAGTTTGTAGGTTGATAGTTTTTAATTTCCCTTGTCAGTGGAGCTAGTACAAGCAAATGTCAGAAGTTTGTTTGTTTGTTTGTTTCAATTTCACTTATTTATTTCATCCAAGAGAGAAGGAGACAGAGAGAGACAGTCACTTCCAACAAAGGCCTCCATGATCCAATCCCAGCCTCGGGCAGCCAGGATCAGAGCATACGTGTATACAGTCAGAGCTCAGGACATGAACTCAGGGCCTCGCCATATGGTCTCAGCATCATGGAGCATTCTGTCACCACGGCATGAAATGGCAGAGGCTTTCGTGTCTGTTTTCTGTAAATGACCTGGTTACATTGCCGCCACATTCCATGCCTTCGTTGCTGTGTCTATGAAATGGGAAGATACGCCAGGGACTTTGAATACCTCCTCTGATATCACATGTAAGCATGACTGCTTTACCAGCAGTTACAGCCCATTGGTAGTCCCAGACCCTCCTGGACTGAGGCCCACCCTGGAATTGGGCCCAGAAGAGAGACAACCGGCAGGTTCTCTGGGTCCCATCAGCTAAAGAGTGATGGCTGCATCTGGGTGCCTGTCCCATGATCTCTTTTCTTCCCTCCAGATAATCCCAGTGACAGGCCCCCGGGAAGGGGGCACCAAGGTCACCATCCGAGGGGAGAACCTGGGCCTGGAATTCCGGGACATCGCCTCTCATGTCAAGGTGGCCGGTGTGGAGTGCAGCCCTTTGGTGGATGGTTACATCCCTGCGGAACAGTGAGTGGGAGCCACCCAAGACACGAGAGGAAGAGGAGGGAAGGGATGATAACCCAGGGCTAGGAGCAGCCTGGTTGATGCAGCTGGTCTCAGAGCTGGGTGGCAGGGGCAGGGGGAAAGGAGAAAACCCTTACTGTTTTTGTTTTTGTTTTTGTTTTCTGGTGTGGGGGGACTCCCACACTTCCCTACCGTCGGGACTAGCTGGGAGTGTGCAAAGGACAAGGGGAAATGGCTGGGACAGAAGAGAAAAGTGACTATTACCTGTACTGGCACCAGCCCTCAGGGCAATCTGGGTATCAAGGACTGCGTCAAAAATGAAACCTCTTTTTCAGGATGAAAAAGAACCAAACAGGAACATTCTTAACCATGAAAATAACATAGGGAAGTGCCTCGGAGGGAGGGAGAGGACGTCTCGTTATGGGGAAGGGACATTTGAGAAAGGTCTCGCCAGATGAGTCGGAGTCCCATAGGTGTAGAAGGTGGTAGATTGATAGTTTTGAGGCCAGCGCTGGGGTAGCATGTGGACGCTGTTGTCAGTAGCCAGTGGCACTCTGGGGACAGGCAGAACAGGCATATGAGAACAATGGTGATTCTTCCTCCCTGCCTTCCCTCCCTGTGGGGAAGGTGTGCAGGAGAGAGCTGAACTGTGGGGATAGAAGTGAGACAGAGCACAATTCAAATCTGCCAGAGAAGTGTGAGTCCCATTCCCTCTGCTGTCCCCCACTTCTCCCCCAGCCCCCAGCCCCATCATCGAGCCCATTGTGTGCTACTCTCTGTGGAGAGCGAAAATGAAATTCCACACCCACTCTCCGCTGGGGGTACTTTGGATTCATGTTCTCTTTACAAAGTCTGCCAGTCCACCCAGCAACCTTGACCTCCCCACCCACGCGGTGGAGGCAGTCTGTAAGTCGGGTATTGCCTTGTAAATAAGTAAACACCATTTTCCAGCCTAGCAAATACAGCTCTGAAGTGTTTCCAGCCTAGCAAACCGCTATGAATCTGTAGTCAATACCGTCTTTACTGCTCCACCCAGGATGAAACCTTGTCTGGGCACCGTGTGCGTAACTCACTGATTTTTCACAAGGCCTCCATAGGTCTGTCCTGCCGGTACTGCTTGGTGGGACTTGTCCAGATTAGTGACTGAACTATCGGGACTGCCTTCCTTCCTCAGCTGCTCCTGCTTTCCACTGGGGTCTTCCCACGGCACTCATAGCAAACCGATGGCTTCCGGCTCCAGTCATGGTAGAACTGGCCTCACTGGTCCATCATCATTTAGTTATCAAAAGATCTTTCGATAGCTCCTTCAGGGCTCCTGTGATCTTCCTAGAGCAAACGCAAAGCAGGCCATTGTGGATACGTTGGGATCCGGAGGATGTGATCCGGAGGATTTTAAATTACCATACTCTGGAACTGCATAGCCAGATACCAAAAATAACGCCACATGATTAAACTATTGTGATACCAGTTAGACCCGCGGAATGAGATAGAACACTCAGGAGAGGAATCATGATATATAAAAGTTCAGTATGTGATAAAGGTGAAATTTCTTTGTTTTAAAATTATTTTATTTACCTTTATTTGTTTATTTATTTAATTGTGTATTTATTTATGTTTGATCAGAGTGTGTGAGAGAGAGAGAGAGAGAGAAAGTGAGAAAGCAAGCCACCAGGTCTAGGACTTGAACTGTGGTCTGCCATGTGGGAGTCCAGTGTCCTTAACCACCATGCCACCTGCTGGCCCCAAGGTGAAATTTCAAATCAGCAAGGAAAAGCAAATAAATGGTTCTGGTTAACTCCCTGGATAAAGTACATTATTAGGGGCCAGCAGGTAGCATAGTGGTTAAGGCACTGGACTCCATGGAGATTCTAGACCCAGACCTGGCAGCTTGAAAGTGATGCTGGGTGCATGTGTGTCCATGCCCAAAATCCCAAGGAGAGAATGCAGAAGAAGGGATTGTGGCATGGCCATCCTCCCCATGGGTGATTTCTCACTTTCTGTCTCTCTGTCTCTCCCTCTCTCTGGTGAGAGCATGCACCCTATGGCAGAAACCTTAAAAAGAAAATAATTGTACAATATCCATTCCTTATTTCATATTATAAACCAAAATAAATTCCAGATGTATTAAAGAGTTAAGAGTAAAAAAATGAAACTGGAAGGATTAGAATAAAATACAGGTTAAAATTTATTTGATCCCAAGAAGAGGAAGGCATTCCAAGAATAACTGCAAGAAAAGAAGTGAAAGAGAAAAGGATTAAGGGGTCTGAGTACATACAACTGTAAAACTTGCTCATTAAAACTCATTGTAATGCAGCCAGCCAGTAGTGTGGTGGTTAAGGTGGCTGGGTCCTACAAGGCCAACTGTGTGATTCAAGCCTTGGACCCAATGGCTTGAGAAACACACCGGGTGCATGTGCATGCGTGCCCAAAATCCTAAGAGGAGAACAAAGAAGGGATTGCAGTGTGGCCTTCTCCCCTAGGGGGTGATTTCTCACTGTCTCTTTCTGGTGAGTTTCTATATCCTATGGCAAAAACATAAAAAAATATATAGTGTGACAAAGAAATTGGAAACCAAGTTGAAAAATGGCAAATGGGGAGAAAATAATAGCAGTATTTATAATAGATGAAAATTAGCAGTCATATTTCAGAAGTTTCTACAAAAAAAAAACCCTCCAGGGACCTGCAGTTAGCGTAATGGCTATGTCATTGGACTCCCATGTAGTCGACCGTGGTTCACATCCCAGACCCAGTGGCTTAAACTCATGCAGGGCGTGTGTGCATGCGTGCCCAAGATCCTGAGAGGAGACTAGAGGAGAAGGGATTGTGGCATGACCATCCCCCCTGAGGGGGGAGGGGCAGGAATGATTTCTCACTTTCCGTCTCTCTGTCTCTCTCTCTTTTTCTGGTGAGTGCACACACCCTACACCCTATGGTAAAAAAGTCTCTCAAAACAAAACAAGAAGTAAAACAAAACAAAACAAAACAAAACCCTCCATTTTGAACAGACAAGTCAAAGGAAAGGCTATATAAAATCAAATAAATAGGGCCAGTGGGTGTCATGGTAGTAAAGGCACTGGACTCCCACATGGCTGACCATGGTTCAAGTCCTGGACCTGACAGCTTGCTTTCTCACTTTCTCTCTCTGTCTCTCTGTCTCTCTGTCTCTCTCTCTCTCTCTGTTACTCTCTGGTGAGCACACATGCCCTATAGCAAATTTAAAAATTATAATAACAATAATAAATAAAATTAAATAATTCTTTAAAAAATAGCTTAAATAAGTAAAACCCCAAGAATATGTGAAAAACTAAAATAACAATGATGTGTTTTTTCCTACTGGGAAAATTTTCAAAGGATAGCTAGCATCTAATAATGGGCAAAAAGAGTGAACTGTTAATACAAATGTAAAATGAAATATAACCTTTTCAGAGCACAGTGTGACTGTAACTGTCAAATGTTAAATGCATGAACTGTTTAACCCAGCAAGTTTGCTCCTTAGAAGTCTGTTCTAGTAAATACACAATGCTTAAGGATGTGTGTATAGGTTGGCTCGTTTTGCAGAATTATTTGGAGGAGGAGGAAAATTAGGATAATTAAATGTCTGTGGATAAGAGGATGGTTGTATAAATGATGGTGCATTCATATCACAAAATACTGGGGAAGTATAGTATTAGCTTATGAAGTATAGGACTATGTTAGAGTGTGCTAAAAAGAATGAAGTCGAGCTAGCCTCATAAAGGAAAGTCCGTACAATATTAAGTAAAAACAGAGGGGGTGGGACCAGCAGGTGGCATGGTGGTTAAGGTGCTGGACTGCCACATGGCCAACCATGGTTTGAATCTTAGACCTGGTGGCTTGCTTTCTCACTTTTCCTCTCTCTCTCTGTCTCTGTTCCTCTCTGGTCAAAATAAATGAAAATAAATAAATAAATAAAGTTAAATAAAGTAATTCTTATAAAAAAGAATAGTATGTTATGTTTCACTTTTATCTTTAACACCACATACATGTTTCTTTATATGTGATATGTTTGCAAATAATTGTACAAAGGGTCTTAATAAATAAGACCCTCATAGTAAATGCATATTATTAAAAAAAAAAAACTATACACGAACTTCAACATTCTTCACACCAAATAAACTCATACTTTAATTCCATTTTACATGAACCTTTTGAAGTTCCTTCTCTTATGTGTGTGTATATCTACGTATATATACAGCATTTCTTTTCGTGTGTGCATATAATGGAGGTCTTCCAAAAGTTCGTGGAAAATTGCATGTTATGACAAAACTACATACTCAATTCAAAATTTCTGCAGCAAAATAAGCTCCTATTTTCATTCCGTATTTCTATTACCTTTTGAAGTTCCCATCTACAATATATTTGCATAGGACTATAAAACAGTCTGGGAAGATCTGTAAACCACACTGTTTTGAGTGGTGAGGTATAAGGAGAGGGACGCCGTTCACTGTCAGACTGCTGTACTATCTCACTGTTTTAGAAGCATATGAACAAATACTGTCATTAAAACCATAAGAACCTTTTTCATGTTTATTTATTTATTTAATTCCATTTGTTATTGGGACCAGCAGTTAGTGTAATGGCTATGTCGCTGGACTCCCACATAGTCGACCGCAGTTCGAGTCCCGGACCTGGTGGCTTAAAACTCACACCAGGCGTGTGTGCGTGCATGCCCAAGATCCCAAGAGAAGAATGGAGGAGAAGGGATTGCAGCATGGCCATCCCCCCTGGGGGGTGATTTCTCGCTTTCTGTCTCTCTGTCTCTCTCTGTCTGGCGAGCGCATACACCCTATAGCAAAAATCTCTCAAAAAAAATTCCATTTGTTATTATTATTTTTTAATTTGACCAGAGAGAGATCAGAGAGAGAGAGAAAACGAGAGGGAGAAAGGAAGGTCCGGGATTTGAAACACCATTGGCCATGTGGGAATCCAGCGCCTTTACCCACCGTGCCACCTGCTGACCCCAAAACAATAAGAACTTTTTAAAAGGAAGAACTTAGAGCCCTTCACTCCCCTAACCTTCTCAACCTGCTCCCTGACGTAATTATCTGTACCCCCTGGGGCAAGTGGGAACAGAAAACCCTTCATTGAGGTGGCCCAAGGACTGGGAGCCAAGAGATTCTAGACATAGACCTGAAAAACTTTGTGCAGCTCCAAAGCTCCAAATTCTGTCTAACTTGCTGTGGGCCCTCAGGTAAGTCCCTTCCTCTCTCTGGGCTCTGCCAGCTCTACTTTGTAAGCTGTTTGACTGAAACATTCCCTCTACTCGACACAACAATCAAGTAGTGACGCATCAGGGACTGAGTGAGTGTCTGGGGTCAGAACACTCAGACCCTCTCCGAGGTTCCATGGAGACCTCTGTAGGTGGAGTTTCTTCATTTCCTGAGAACCAAGAGGAGCCCTGCAGGGAGAGATCAGTGAGGCCCTCCTTCCATGCCCATCCCTGAGGTCCCACTGCAGAGCAAGGGGCCTGGGCAGGTGTGCTAGGGCACAAGGGCGTGAGTGGCTGGGAGTCCTGGGACCTAGGGTGTCTCCTGTCATCCCTGCAGGATCGTGTGTGAAATGGGAGAGGCCAAGCCCAGCCAGCATGCGGGCTTCGTGGAAATCTGCGTGGCGGTGTGTCGGCCCGAGTTCATGGCACGGTCTTCTCAGCTCTACTACTTCATGGTAAGTCTTGGCCATCAGCACCCTGGCTGGGTGCAAGCCACCACAGTCCTCATTGCCATGACTGCTGGCCCCCCATAAACCTCTGTGAGCAAACCCAGGGCAAGGGGCCTCCATACAAGCTCCCCTAAATTCCTGAGAATCCTGTCTCCCCAGTGAGGGAGCACTTAGCTTTTGAAGTCTACCAGTCCTGGATGCAAATCCAGACTTTGCTGCGCCTGCTGTGTGGCCTCAGGTAAGTGGCTTGTACTCTCTGGGTGAACCCCCATGGGGCTGAGTGGCAGAGTGACATGGTAGGTGGGTGACAGATGGGCTTTCCATGGATACTCCTGGGATCTGAGTCCCGGCTCTGCCATGTACTAACTGGGTGAACTTGGGCAAGTTGCTCGACCTCTGTGCCGTTTCGTCATGTGTAAAGTGGGGATAACAATGTCTGCCCAGTGATAGATAGATATATGTATTGTTGTTTCTTCAATTGCCACCAAGGCTACTCTGGCCTTTCCCTGTATAATTACACCCCACTGTGTGCACCCCATCACCCCTGCCCTGCACCTCACCCCCTCCCAGCTCATCCGCATACCCAGTCCACCTTTTCCCTCCCTCTGCCGCCCTCCCTTCCTTTTCTCATCCACCTTCCTGCTCTTTCTTCAGTGACAGCTACTTATCACCTTACCCAGGACCTCTCACTGGGTTACTGAGATGGATACTTCTATCTAGTCATTTAATGGTCCTGGCTGTGGGGGTACAGTGGTGAAGACCGCACAGCCCTCCCTCAGGACGTCACAGGCAAGGGAAGATCAAGCACAAGCAGGAGGATGTAAACACAGGCTGGGGAGCGGGACAGGAAAACCTCAGGGTCCCTGAGCCAGGCTCCCCTCAGCAAGCAGGCCAAATCCTGCTCCTCCCTGACCCCTGCTCTTTGAAATCAGCACCGTTCTGGACACAGTGACTATCACAAACACACGGGGAATACAGGTGGAGGAACACACGTATTGGGTTACGTGTGTTCACGTATAGAGTTTGTGGAGGTGCTCTATTTAACTGTTTAAGATTCATACCCCTCTTCATCTGGAAGGATGTGAGGGAATTTCCAAATTAAAATCAATAGCTAGAAGGACAATTAATGACAAATGTATATATATTTATATATAAAACTTGTATATACAGTCTATGATATATACATATAGACATAGTATATATATTTATATATAAAACTTGTATATAAATTCCATGATATATACATATAGACATGCATATATGTATGTTTGCACACACGTATATAAAAAGGGTCTTCAAAAAGTTGAAAAATGACTATTACATGGGCAGCAGGTAGCATGGTGGTTAGGACACTGGACTCTCATATGGCTTACCATGGTTAGAGTCCCTGGAGACTTGAACTTACTCTGGGCACATGTGTGTGTGTGTCCAAAATCCCAGAAAGAGAATGAAGGAGAAGGAACTGCAGCATGGCCATCTTCCCCGGGAGGTGATTTCTCATTTTTTCTCTCTCTATCTCTCTCTGGTGAGCACACATGCACATGGCTATACAAAAAAAAAACTCTAATAAAAGATAGAAAAAATTGGGACCAGCAGTTGGCGTAATGGCTATGTTGCTGGACTTCCATGTAGTTGACCACGGTTCAAGTCCCAGACTCGACGGCTTAAATTCACACCAGGTGCATGTGCATGTGTGCCCAAGATCCCGAAAGGAGAATGGAAGAGAAGGGATTGTGGCGTGGCCATCCCCCCTGGGGGGTGATTTCTTGCTTTCTATCTCTCTGTCTTTCTGATGAGCGCACACGCCCTATAGCAAAAACCTCTCAAAAAAACAAAAAGAGAAAGAAAAAAATGAATAGTATTAAAAAAACTGTTTGGATTTCAATAATTTTTTGCACCCAAATAAATTTACACTTTAATTTCATTTTATACTTTAACTTCATTTTTCCACAGACCTCTCGAAGTCTCTTTCTGTGCATGTATTTAGAGAAAGATTGAGACAGAGACACAGAGACAGCTCTCACCAGGTACTCAGGACCTGAAACCTGGCCCTGAAACTACCTGGCAGCTGAGGCAGGAAGGGAGGAAACCATCACCAAAGGCCAAAGCCAGCCCTGGACCTCCTTGGTCAGTCAGCCGCCAGGCCCATTAGTACCCTGTGCTCCTTGGCAGTGGCTGGATAACAACGGGACAGTCCTAGAGCAGCCTCATCAAGCTGCACCCTGGGACCTCCTCTGCCTCTGCCTCATGTTCCCAACTGAGCCTCTGACCCTGGTGACTCGCTCAGAGGCCACAGCCATCTGGATGTCCTGCTGTCATCTAGCTATCAGCTCCCTCAAACAGTGTGTCCTCCTCTGCCTGTTGTGTCAGTGGCCCATCCCCTAGGCCTGCTATCTTGGTGGCTCAGAGTCCCTTAGTTCCTGATCTCCATCTGTCACCATGTTTTGGAGTCTTGCTTCCTCCTTTTCTTTGCCACCACAATGGCTTCTGTACCTTTCTCCTCATCTTTTCTCTGAACCATTGTAATCCACCCACCACTGCAGAAACACGGTTTTCATCACGGCAGCCCCATGTCAAGAGGACCTGAAGCTCCCACTCCTGTCAGGAGATGCACAAGGTCCTTGGTCAGCCACCTGCTTGCCCAGTCCTATTTCTCCAGTCTTTGTTGAGACATGAGACACTCTCCCTTCTGTATCTTTGCCTTGCTGCACCTGGCCACAGAATTCCCATGCTTCAAAGCCCCGCTTCCAAATCACTCCCTTGGTCTTCTCTGCACCCGGCACCTGCGGTCCCCCAGCACTGGGATCCCAGAGCAGCTGTGGGCACTGGCACTCAGCAGTCCTTCCGTGTGCCCTGCCCCTCTGGTCAGGCCAGCAAGTTTTTGCAAATAAAGACCAGGGACTTGCTTTGCTAGCCCCATGGGCAGTTCTAAATGTCCATGTACATTATAACCTCCTGGGGGGCTTCAACAAAGTCCTCTGGAGCCCCCCAGCCCCCCTCAATTAAATGAGACCCTACAGGTGGGACACAAGCATCAGTCTGTTCCAAAAGCTCCCAGTGGGTTCTAATGTGCAGCCCACACTGCCGACCACCGGCCCAGGAGGAGCCGAGAAGCATGAAGCATGACGGTCAGCAGTTACTATGTGCTTGTTCTCTCTGCTCCTGTTTTAGTTCTTTTCTTTCTTTCTTTCTTAATTTTTTTGAGAGAGATTTTTATATAGGGCACGTGTGCTCGCCAGAGAGACAGAAAGTATGAAATCTCCCCCAAGGGGGGATGGCCACACCACAGTCCCTTCTCTTCCATCTCCTTTCAGGATTTTGGGCACACATGTGTGCATGCCTGGCATGATTTTGAAGCCACCGGATCTGGGAATTGAACTGCAGTCGACCATGTGGGAGTCCAGCAACGTAACCATTATGCTATCCTGCTGGCCCCTGCTTTAGTTCTTATAATGAGCATATGCATCAGATATTGGAGAGTATCATCTGCACTCAGGACAGGGTCAAGGTTGCCTGCGTGATTGTCTTCACCCTGGAGCAGGAAGGGGTTGAATCTAGGGTATTAAGGGGAGGCTTCTGGAAGAAGCCAAATGAGAGGAGGGTTTGTGGAATATGCTTTTCCATGTGGGTCTTGAGTGTGGGGCCCTTCCTGGCATAAGGTGTGACAGGGAAGTGCTCCCAAAGGTGGAACAGAGGGGAGAGTAGAGAAGGAAGTGACTGGTGAGGAGGCACTTGGTCAGGTCAGGGAAGACGAGAGCTACAGCCACAAGGTAAGTGTGCACTGGCCCCTGGGCTCAAAGGCTGGTGTGGCTTTTCTGCTTGAAGGGCACCTTCAAAGACTAGCCCTGGTGCCACCTGCCCACTTGGGGAGAATTGTAAAGGAGGAGGGAAGCCCAGATCTCTGACGCCAACTTGCATTTCAGGATTGCATCATTGTGGCTCCCCCCACAGAGCTCCTAGGGCTTTCAGGTGGGATGGGAGGCAGAGTTGCCTGGAGTCCCCTCAGGGAGCCCAGAAGGGTCAGAACCCACTCTAGTCTCTCTGCAGTATCTCAGAGCTCTGGCTGCCTCTCCATTCAGCAAGGCAGCAGGGGGGTGGTACCCTTTGGGCTCTCACGGAAGCCCCAGGCCCTCTGGAGCCCTGAGACAGTCTGCTCTGGGGACTTGTTTGGGAGCAAGATTTGAGTTTCCCCAAGTTTCCCTTCATGAACCAGGTCGGACCCTGATGTGTGGGTTTATGCCTCCAAAACCCAACTGTCAAGGCCCAGGGCTCGGATGGGCTCTGTCCCCAGAGGCCTCCACGCAGGGGATACTACTTCCCTTCCCTCCTCCTCCGTGGGGCGAGTGAGGAGGTGGCAGGGGATGCAGCAGCTGATTCCCATGCAAACCTACCATGAAATATGTATGAAGCATGACTTGAATAATTAATAGTTTCTCACAACTCTGGACCATGTCTCCTGAACAGCCTCTCCCCACTCCATGGCAGTGCTGCAGCGAAGCCTGCAGGATTATTCACTGCTGCCCCTAGGAGACCCTCCCCCAGCAGCTGTGGGGGACACCCACTCCATCTATCTGGACTGCTCTGGCTTAGACCATGTCTAGGGCCAGCCCTGCCTTGAAGCCCATGTCCACAGGTGTGTACACACACACACGCACACACACACGCACACACACATGCACACACGCACACACACACACGGGTAGGGTACACTCTCCCTTCCTTCAATCAGCAGAGTCCCTCTGCAGGAGGAAAGGCTCCTTTTGGAGAGATGTGAGTTACTGCATGTTACAGAACAAGGAATCAGTCAAGGCGCTTGGAAATAAACATCTCTTAGACCCCAGCCCTCTGATTTTGTAACCAGAGAAGTTAAGCACCGTGTCCCAAGTCACACAGCGTGGACGCAGTCAGAGCTAAGAAACAAGGGTTCTTTCAAGCCTCATCCCACCCTCTTTTTGACCTCCAGTTGAGTCAGTAGCAGCAGACCTGGGATGAAAAACTGTTCCTTGGCTTGTCTAGTGCTGGGGGAATGCTAGGTCTGGAATCCACAGACTAAATGCAAGCATCTGGTGGCCAGATGGGGGCTCCAGTCAGCGTGGGTCCCCACCTATGGGCCCTGTGCTGGGCCTGGACTGCAGGCTCCTCTGGGGACACCTTTCTCCTCCAAGGTGTCACAGATCAAGTAAGACCTCTCCCAGGGGAAGTTGCTGTCCCACTCTAAGGGGCCAAGTGGATTCAACTTTTGGTGCTGAAGTCTTGAAGTGGGTGGTGGCTGGCGAAGGGAAGGAGAAATCTTCATTTAAATGCAGATACAGGCTTCTCACCTGGGACTGAGGAAAGTTTTTCCATTAAAATGCTAATGAAAGAACAAACTGCAACTCCAAATCCCCAGCTGTCACTGGCTTTTTTCCGCCCTGCCCCCTCCCCTCCCCAACCCCACTCCTCTGTAGTCCCCTCTGGCAGGGCTGTGGGCAGGCCCTGAAAACTGACCTTTTTTTTTTTTTTGAGAAAGAGGTTTTTGCTATAGGGCCCATGCGCTCACCAGAAAGACAGAGAGAGACAGAAACCAAAAATTCACCCCCAGATGGCCGCACCGCAATCCCTTCTCCTCCAATCTCCTCTTGGGATCTTGGGCATGCACACACACGCTCTTGGCATGACATTAAGCTACAGGGTCCAGGACTCGAACCACAGTCGACTACATGGGAGTCCAGCGACATAGCCATTACGCTAACTGCTGGTCCCTTTTTTATTTCATCTCCTGTCACTGCTCTGGCCACTGGTGCCTTACAGCTCAGTGGAGAGACCCATGGCAAAGATGTGTCACCTTCCCAAAGCGAGGAAGACTATACTGGAGAGGAGGAGAGCTGGTGCTCTGGGGTCAGACCCCAGTTCCACTTCTTCAGCCGTGTGACCTTGGAGAATTTACTTAGCCTCTCTTCTCTCACTTGTGCAATAGCTAATATTATACATACTTTATGGACTTGACTATCAATGGAGATTAAAGCCTGTTGCCTAAAAGCGCCAGTACACGGCGGCTGTTACTACTGAGGTTATGAATCTGGACACGCAGACTCTCAGGACCCAGAACATTGCCTGTCCACACAAGCCTAAGAAAATGTGCAGGCTTTCTGGGAGGCCATGATACTAAAGATTCCAGATGGCCCTGTGGGGGAGTGGGTGCTGCCTTGGGCCTGCCCAGAGCCTCCTCTGCCCATCTGGTCTCGTGTATCTCAGACCATACCCTCTCTACACAGACGCTGACGCTCTCAGACCTGAAGCCCAGTCGAGGGCCCATGTCCGGGGGCACCCAGGTGACCATCACAGGCACCAACCTGAATGCGGGCAGCAACGTGGTGGTGATGTTTGGAAAGCAGCCCTGCCTCTTCCACAGGTATCTGCAAGGCCTGTCTACAGCTGTAGGGGAGGGAATCAGACAAGTAGGTCATCACTCCTAGCAGGTTTGGGACAGAGCTGTGAGGGGGCTATCACAGGCTATGTCATCCTAGGCTGAAGAAAGCAGGTGTTCTCCTTGGCAGAGGCCTTTGGTTCAGACTGGACTGCCAGGCACCCTTTCCTTGGGTAGGCTCCATCCTGTTGCTGCTCACCATTGGCCTTGGTGCCCTGTGGCACCCCATCTGCTGAACCCTAGGCTGCCCAGAACGCATCGTGGAGCCAGGATAGAGCACTCACTGGGTAGCTCCTGTCCAGCTGTACAGAGTCACCTGGCGCTCAGGGCTCATAGGCTCATCGGTCCCAGCAGGCTGAGGTCGAGCCTCCGAGGGCAGAGCAAACAACACTCCCAGCCCTGTCCCACTATCTGGCCCAGAAGGGCAGGCCTTTGTCAGCCAACAGCCTGGGCATAGGAGTGAGACAGGAAGTAAGTCCAGCAAAGGGCTCTACTGTGGCTGGGAGCTCCCTCGGCCAACTTGAGAGTCTCTAGAGAGGTTTTCTCTGGAGGGAACTATGTTGGCTGTGACAGAGCCAGTCAGACCAGGCCAAGCCTTGCATTAACAGTGTTAAAGAAAAAAGTACTCTGACACGTGTTAAGCTGATAAGGAAGACTTGATTCAGGACTAGTACAATAGGGGAGGAGAGATCGGGATCTTTGGTACCAGTCCTGGAGCTTCATCCCTTAGGTAGTGTTCAGCATTGCCTATGAGGAGCTGACTTATTGGGAGAGCTGTGGAGGGCCCTGACCCAGAATCGCCATCCTCTGTAAAACCCAGAGGCCCAGCGCTCTGTCTTCCCTCCCTGCAGGCGCTCTCCGTCCTACATCGTCTGCAACACCACATCCTCGGAGGAGGTGCTAGAGATGAAGGTGACGGTACAGGTAGACAGGGCCAAGATCCACCAGGACCTGGTCTTCCAGTACGTGGAGGACCCCACCATCGTGCGTATCGAGCCAGAGTGGAGCATTGTCAGGTAGGAGCGGCCTAGAGTGGACCCTATTACCCTGGGCCTCAGTTTCTTTTCCCTGATTCTCAAAAGTAGAGGAGAGTTCTAGAGGCCTAATTCTGCCTTGGGCGATGATAAACTGGGGCTGGTTCAGAGCAACCTACATTAGAAGACTCTCTGCCATAGCTCCTTCCTTCCACTAAGAGCACCTCTGCATAGGGCCCACCTAGAGGCCTAAGTCTGACCAGCAAGAGCCCCCCCAACCCCCTCCAAAGAGAGGGTGGTGTGTTTGGAGGCCTTGTCTCCACCTCATAATGGCCATCAGAAGATGCCAGCTCTATTCCCCTATATCTTATTTCTGGCAAAATAGGCAGTAATTCTGATCCTGCTTTCAGGCTAGAGGAAGTGGAAAAGTTGAAAGATCACAATCAGCCTCTCTCTGGCCTTCTCTGGAGGGAAACCAAGGTCCAGTTCAAATGTCTCTCCTCTGTGCTTTTGAAGCCTCCCAATAGCTTCTGTCTCAGCATGACCTCTGATCTGCTTATGATTGTCCTTCCCTCCCCTGCAAACTCCACAAGGATGGAGTTTGAATTTCGTTCCCTGCTCTTTCCCAGGTTCCCAACATCAATGCATAGAAACTGTGTCCTAGAGGGAGGGGAGCAGGCATCTGATGCTGTTCTAGAAAGACTCTGGGCAGGGAGTCAGGACCTTCAGTACTGGTTGTTTAGTCATTCACCCTGGGCAAGTTGCATGCTCTTCTTAGGCCTTTACCTCTTCAGCTGTTTACTTGGGGACTTAGAAACCTCAGGGCCTCTAAGGTCTCTGGAGGTTTGTCTTACATCAGGGAAAGGACTGCAGGTTGACAGTTGGAGGCTGATTTTCCAGGCCCTGGAGGTTGCCCGGGAATGAGAAGTTGCTACAGAGGGCATCCTCTTTTCAAGGCCCATGGAGATCTGGGAAACCAAATACCCAGGATTACATGGAGAATGGAACAAAGGCTTGGGGTCAAAAGGAACAGGCTCGGCCCAACTTCACTGCCTACTAGAAAAATGACCTTCAAATTTCCTAACTTCCCTGGGTCTAGGGTTTCTCAACTGTCAACTCCCTCACAGGGATGCTGAAAATTCAATGAGAAGTAAACCCCAGTGTGGGACCTGGTTCAGCATCTTCACCTGCCCCCTGCTCAGGGCCTAGTCCTCCCCACTAGGGTGGGCATGAAACAGTGATCCCCAAGGTTAAGGAAGGGGACAGAGATGAATCCAGTCCAGGCAACGATCTTTTTATTATTATTATTAAACTTTATTTATTTACTTTTAATTTGACCAGAGAGGGACAGAGAGAGAGAAAATGAGAAAGCAAGCCACCAGTTCTTGGACTTGAGTCATGGTCATCAATGTGGGAATCCAGTGCCCTTAACCACCATACCACCTGGGCAACAACCTTTTAAACTTGCTGTCAGCAAACTCTGTCCATGGGCCAAACTTAGATGACCAACTGCTTTATAAATAAAGTTTTATTGAAGCACAGCCATGCTCATTAATATATAGATTATCTATCAGGGCTTTCAGACTGTGATAGCAGAGTTGAGTAATTGTGACAGGGGCTAATGGCCTACAAGCCTAAATGTTGACTATCTGGCCCTTTCCAGAAAGAATTGGCTCCTTCTGCCTTAAGTTCAAAGGAAAGGCAGGCTTTGCCTGATGAAATTTGGCTGTCCTCAGCAGAACTCTGAAAGGCCCAGATCTTATGGGCTTTATCTTAAAGCAGAGAAAGTATAAAGCACAGCATGGGGAAAGTAGCCTGGAAAAAGCTACACCAGCATTTGATCCCAGGCGCTTGTGAGTCCAGGAAGTTGACATACTCAGTCAACAAACTGCAACCCCGAGGCATTCACAGCCTAGCTTAATTTAGCTCTTCCTTGTGTCATCGCCACAAAAATAGAGGTGTTGTCCTTTCTGGCACAGAGCAACATCCTGCATCATGCTCACATTGAGAGGGAGGTTGGAGGCACATTCTATGTCGGCCAGCCAGCTCCAGCACTTTCACTTAAGTTACCAAAGGCCGAGGAAGGAGTAGGGCTCTGTGTAAGGTGTGGCGTTACCCTTGTGTATGAGCAGCCTGGGTTACTAATGAACAGCGATGGTGGGCTTTGGCGAGTGTGTGTTGGGTCACCAGACACTCATCTGCCAGAAGCAGCCACTAGAAGAAGAGCTTCTCTGGGCTTCACAGGAATCTTGACATACTCAGTCAACAAACTGCAACCCCGAGGCATTCACAGCCTAGCTTAATTTAGCTCTTCCTTGTGTCATCGCCACAAAAATAGAGGTGTTGTCCTTTCTGGCACAGAGCAACATCCTGCATCATGCTCACATTGAGAGGGAGGTTGGAGGCACATTCTATGTCGGCCAGCCAGCTCCAGCACTTTCACTTAAGTTACCAAAGGCCGAGGAAGGAGTAGGGCTCTGTGTAAGGTGTGGCGTTACCCTTGTGTATGAGCAGCCTGGGTTACTAATGAACAGCGATGGTGGGCTTTGGCGAGTGTGTGTTGGGTCACCAGCCCATAACCCGCAACACCCAGCCACTAGAAGAAGAGCTTCTCTGGGCTTCACAGGAATCTTCATGTATGTGTGTGCATGTGTGTGTGTGTGTGTGTGTGTGTGTGTGTGCACACGTGCACACTGGGCTGATTATAGATGGGTAGAATGAATGTGAGTGTTGGAGATTCTTCATTCACAGGGCTTACCACTCACTAACTGGCTATACCCTATTGCAGATAGCAGGATTCTTCTCAACGTGCTCCTTTGATTGAGGATCAGTTATTCCTTGCTTTCCTTTGAGTAGCCGCCAAGGAAGATAGAGCCCAATACTGCCACCCCTCCATGCCACCTTCTCTGCCACCCAAAGGATGGCAATGGCTTCCAAGTTTCCTTTGAAAAGCTATGTCAAGATAAAGCCCCTGAGCCCTCCTGGTCAGCAGTGCTATGGCTACCCAGGGTGTGGAAGAACCTGAGTCCTGGAGCATTTTTCATTGCATTCCTGGTACAGGCCTTCATCTCCCAGATATCAGACTGACTGAGTCCTCCCAGGTTGAAATTTGCAGTACAATTGTCCCAAGGATTAGACTGTGCTCAGACCACTGGAGGGGTCCCTGGTGGGGACAACCTGGAACAAGGTTCCCATGAGGCCAAGGCCAGTGAAAGGGGCCTTCAGACTGGTGAGGACCGTGGGAGACACCAGTGGGTTGCCGAGAAGCAGCTGGCTCAGAGCTGGAGTCCTTGGAAAGCTTAATGGGGTTGTGCTGGCAACTGGGCCTCCACAGGGTGTCCAGGCTCTGAATGAGCTCAGTGAAAGACAGCCATGGGCATCTGGTCCTCACTGTCTTCCCCGTGGCTGCTGAGATGCTCACCCTTGTTATTATGCAGTCAGCTTGTCATGCTTGTCCTGGTTATCAATGTCCTCATTGTCATGGTTCAACTTGATGATAGTCATCGTCGTCCGGAGCCATTGCTCTTCCTCTCTCTGTGGCTTACACGCCTCCTTCTTTCTCCCTGCTCAGTGGAAACACACCCATCGCTGTTTGGGGGACCCACCTGGACCTCATACAAAACCCCCAGATCCGTGCCAAGCATGGCGGGAAGGAGCACATCAACGTGAGTCCAGGGCTGGCAGGGTGCATGGGGTTGCCCACTCAATATGTTGCTTCCCTCAGGGTGTGGGGCCTCCAAGGTCTCAGAGAGCTCCATGCCCATGTGTTGATGACCCACAGCATGTGACATCCCTGAATACTAGGTGGTGGGGTGAAGAGAAGACATGAAGGCATTTGCACACCTTGGGGTACAGGCATGGAAGAGCAACCACTTCCAGAGCTGCTGGGATTTTATACTTTTCCTCCTCCATCCTTTCCACCCCACTAACTTAGAAAACACCCAAGTCATCTCCACATCTGCCATGGGCAAAACTAGATCCAGGGGCCAGCTACAAAGCAAATTCCTTGAATGCCCAAGTGCATGGTCCCCCTCTGTCAATCCCATGCTGTAACAGTAGTACCCAAGACACCCTATGCATGCACAGGTTGTGGAGAGACACCACAGTCTTCCCTCTCTGGCCCCTCCCACAGATCTGTGAGGTTCTGAATGCTACTGAGATGACCTGCCAGGCTCCAGCCCTTGCCCTGGGTCCTGACCATCAGTCAGACCTGACCGAGAGGCCGGAGGAGTTTGGCTTCATCCTGGATAACGTCCAGTCCCTGCTAATCCTCAATAAGACCAACTTCACCTACTATCCCAACCCTGTGTTTGAGGCCTTTGGTCCCTCAGGAATCCTGGAGCTCAAGCCAGGCACACCAATTATCTTAAAGGTAGAATGCGGGAGGTCATGGGAGGTGGGAAGGAAGAAGGCCCTGCATGGAAGGGGAGGGTTTTAAGTCACGAGGGGAGCCAGAAGTCACAGGCTCCTTCCAAATTCAGAGCTTGGCATCCTCTGCAGAGGCTGTATTATAGCCCAGCACGTGACAAATGCTCACACGAAGTTTTAATGGGAGGTGGGGGTGGGGGGGACTCTTTACAGGGTAGATCTATCCCAGGCAGGCAGATGCGCCCTGGCCATTCGACTCCCAAAATTTTCCTGGAACTGGGAGGGCAGAAGCTCACTCACACTGTGACCTCCTGTGCAGCCCTTTGCAAACCACAACATGGGGTTTTGGGGAATATGGGTTGCAGATTAATTTTAATTCACATGACAACTTGAATCAATTAGTAAGAACTGACTAGAACTCTGGGTTGAGAAAAATTCTGGGGCTGCATTTGGGATAAGCCAAAGAGAACATTGATTAGTGATTTCTCATTGGGAAGAAGGGAGAATGGTAGCATGTGTGCCAAGGATTTTTTGGACTTGTCACCAATGGTGGCTTCTCCAGCAACTCACTAGCAGAATGGGACCTTCAGTAGCAGGGCACAGCAGCCAGCCAGTAGCTGTGGGGCTGACTTGGGGGTGGGAACTGGGGCTTTATTATCCATCCAGGGCAAGAACCTGATCCCACCTGTGGCTGGGGGCAATGTGAAGCTGAACTACACGGTGCTGGTCGGGGAGAAGCCGTGTACCGTGACCGTGTCCGACGTGCAGCTGCTCTGCGAATCCCCCAACCTCATCGGCAGACACAAAGTGATGGTGAGGGTGGCAAGACCCCCATCCCCAATGGAGTGGGTATTAGGGGTGCTGGGCATGAGTGCTGCAGCTCCAACCCAGGCTATGAGGGCTTTCCAGGGGGGATTCTGCAATTCCTCTCTCTTCCTTTAGCTAGAGAGTAAGGCTGGAGTGCTGATCTGTGGTTTAGAAGTTTGCCCATTGCAAACTTTCCTCCTAGCTGCCCCTCGCCCCTAGTCCCTTCTGCCTGTTCCACTTCTGGCCTCTCTCTTCTGTGTTGTCCTTCATTCTGTACTGGCTGGTGCCACAAGGGCAATGCGGAACAGCCTTAAATAATATGCCAAGTCATCTGTAATAGGCAAGAGAGCCTTCATGGAGAAGGCCACTGTTATGCCATGTTCTGTGCCTTGGTCTCCCGCCCTGACAGTGGAGATGCATCTTAGGGGAGCCAGCCATTGACACCATGTCAGACTTTGCTTATGTCCCAGCTGGGTGCTATTTTCTTACTAAGATGAGGCTAGCTCTCGAATAGGAGGCTATGTGGTTCTTCCAGTAGGGGGCTGGCCTCCGCTGAGACACCCATCCCCTCCTCCGCCCCTCTATACCCTCCTATCCATTTTTACAACTGTGTTACATCTCCTTCCTGGAATCACTCCTCTCCTCCTGCCCCAGTCACCAGTTCATTGGTAACTAGGGCCCATTCCCCAGGTTGCTCTGCCCCCCCTCCCCAGCCCCCTGTTGCCTGGTGTGTCCCCAGGCCCGTGTCGGTGGCATGGAGTACTCACCGGGGATGGTGTACATCGCCCCGGACAGCCCGCTCAGCCTGCCTGCCATTGTCAGCATCGCTGTGGCCGGTGGCCTCCTCATAATCTTCATAGTGGCTGTGCTCATCGCCTACAAACGCAAGTCTCGCGAGAGTGACCTTACATTGAAGCGGCTGCAGATGCAGATGGACAACCTGGAATCTCGGGTGGCCCTGGAGTGCAAGGAAGGTACTGAACAGCCAGGTGGCCGTGGCCCTGGGCTGGAGGCCAAGTGTGTGGGCATGCTCATGCATGCATGTGTGTGTGCATGCATGCATGTGTGTGTGTGTATGTGTATGTGTCGAATATACAGCAAGCAGGTTGGGCAGCAGTTGACATGCAGGAGGCTCTATCTACCAGAACCTATAAATCTAGTCGCGGAGCCAAGGTTCCAGACCACACCCCCATGCTAGTGGGCCCCACCCTGGCAATGCCAGAAGGAGCGAAGGCCTCTTCTTCCTCTCCTTTGAGGTGTTAGACTGGGATCACACTAAACCCCATCAAGCCTTCCCCAGACACAGAATCCTAGCTGAGTGGGATTGACTCTCCACTCTAGGGGAGACCTTGGGGTGTCTTGACATGACACATTTGAGCAACCTTCCATCGTCTTCCTTTAGCAGGAAGGTAAGACTGGAGGGCTGATCTGCGATTTAGAAAGAAGAGTGTTTCACAGCTTGTATTTTAGAAAATGACAAACACCACCATGAAGCGAAACCAGCTGCACTAAATCCAAGAAGGAAATTTAGGAGTCAGACTCTTGTAACCCCCAGGATATCATTTTGTGAGTCACCCGGGAGGATCTGAGCCTGTTCTCCACTGTCGATTTATTCAGGAGTAAATCCGGCCCTGTACTGGGGCTCTCACACCCACCAATTCCCACCAGGGCAGCCCTGGCTGTTTTGATGGGGAAGTGGATCCATTCCATCCCCTCTCCACATCCTTCAGCTGTCAACACAGCCTCCGCCTTGTGGGACTGTTAATTACTGCCTTTTATTATATTTACGCTGCTTAATTTTTTTTCTCCGCAATGTACTCTTCCTCTAATTAGGTGTAGTGATTAGAATCTCTTTTATGTGTGGCAGGCGCAAGGCTTTGAATGTTGGAGGTGCCTGGTGACTTAAAGGAAGGCTGGAGACGATAAAAAACCAACTCTCTACTTCTCCTCCCCACCAGCTGAGCATCCCTACTGGGCGAGGCAGGCAAGGGACAAGGGATGCTGGCCTGGCTTCTCTACAATGCTCGCAGAAAAGGAAGGAGCCACTCAGGCAGGAGGGCTGCCCAAGAGTATCAGTGGAGGCCTCAGGAGAGCTGGGCTGCAGGGCTGCAAGGGGGAGCGTCAGCCGAAGGCTCGCAGTCATGATGTGTTTTTCAGGGATGCCCAGAGCTGATTGCTGGTTTTCAGGGCAGTGCTGGCCCAGGGAATGTGTTTTCTTAGAGACTTTACTGTCAGCCAGGCTGTCACCTACACTCAAATTTAGAAGAGGCCCAGGCCTGCCTCAGCAAGCCTGAGCTGTTCATTGTTTTAAGACAGGGCCTTGCTACCTCAGCCACTCCAAGTTGCTGGGATTATAAGCTATGCCCCTGCACTACTTACCTAGAGGTTGGACCCAAATTCTTTTTTTTTTTTTTTCCCCGGAGAGGGTTTTTTTTGCTATAGGGCGCATGCACTCGCCAGACAGACAGAGAGAGA